ATTTAAGCAAACTAGATGTTCAGAAGATCCCCAAAGGCAAAATTTCTCTGGTGGAGGCTCTGACTCTTCTCAATAATCATAAACTTTCTCCACAAATATGGACCGCAGAGAAAATAGCAAAGGAATACAGTCTAGACTTGAAGGAGGTCACTGCTCTCTTAGAATTCTTCATACCTTTTGATGTAGAAATCTCCCCTTCCAAAGACAAAGAAGCTTTAGAAATTTCTCCTTCCAAAGACAAAGAAGCTTTAAAACCTTCTTAATGGTGTTTTCCTTTGACACTTCTCATACAGTTTGTGTAGGAATTTGGTCACATGCGCTTCAAGGTTGTCCTCTTGTAGCAATAAGATGCTTTATTTATATGACTGCATTCCGTGTGTGATTGCTGCATGGGGGGAAAAAATGTATTTGGTATACTCTGGTTCATAATCTGTCTTACATATGCCTGATAAGGAGAAATCAGTGAAATCTGTCCAGAACAAGAAATGAGCCACTTAAATTGTTCTGCTTGTTTGCGGAAAGAATTTCTTTTTAAATAAATGTCACCTGTTACTGAGAATCAAATTGAGAATGTGTTGTCTTTGGACTTGACTCAACCCTCATTTTCTAACTATTCTGCAGCTGTCTTTATCATGGCACCGACTCTTACTCACACAGTTGTGTGTAATCAGCATGCAAACAAACGAAAAACAGCCACTTTTCCTGTATTCAAAAAATGTTGGGAGAGCATGTTTGCTTCATAAAAAAAGATGATTGCAGGGGAAATAGAATTTTCAAGCATGTTGATCTTAAAAGCAAAAGAGAGTACTTGGGAGATAGCTTTTACACCTTCTTTAAATAGGGACCCATAATGGGTAGGGTGGTCAGCTCAGTTGCATCCATTCCATTCTAGTTAGCCCCACTTTTGGGGTGAACTTTTGTAAGTCATTCATCAGTTTATAAACAGGAGAGTGGTAGTATCTGAACCAATTACAGATTTCCTTGGCTCCTGCATCTTTGTGTGATACAGTGGTTCATTTCATGTAAGCAAGATTAGTAAGTAGCTTTCAAATTCAGCTGGTTTCTTTTTTTCTATAAATAGAAACATCTGTGGAGGGCCAAATGACTTCTAGTATCCTTATTTATCCATGAAGTGTTTATATAGTCTAACCTAGAAATTCAGGTAACCAGTTTCTGGATTAGAGATGTTTGATAACGGGTAATGGAATAGTTGAGTAACTGTTCCCACGCAGACAGCCTGAAACAGAGGCAGCAGTGCAGGGTGGCAGCAGCCTCTGTCCATGGGGGGTCTGAGCTCCCCATAGGCAGAGCAGCTTCCATCTGCGGCAAGCCTGGGCCTGCCTCAGACAGTGGCTGCTCTGGCAACAGCCCCTATCTGTGGGGGATCCAAGCTCCCCACGGACTGAGGTTGCTACAGGAGATGCAGAGCAACCTCTGTCTGTGGAGAGATCATAGAATCATAGAATAATAGGACTGGAAGGGACCTCGAGAGGTCATCGAGTCCAGCGCCCCGCCCTCAAGGCAGGACCAAGCTCCGTCTACACCATCCCTGACAGATGTCTATCTAACCTGTTCTTAAATATCTCCAGAGAGGGAGATTCCACCACCTCCCTTGGCAATTTATTCCAATATTTGACCACCCTGACAGTTAGGAATTTTTTCCTAATGTCCAATCTAAACCTCCCCTGCTGCACTTTAAGCCCACCCAATGTTTTATAAGATAGTGGCAACCGATGTTGAACACCATACTGCTGAATATATGGCATTCCATATGGAAGAAATAATGGAAGCAGCCTCTGCCCGCGGCAGAGCCAGGCTTGACTAAACAGAGGTTGCTCCGGGAGTTATGAAGTAGTCTCTGTCCGTGGGGAGCTCAGACTCCCCACAGACGGGCTGCTTTGCAGCAGCTTCCCCCTATGTCCTCGCCCCCACTGCTGCCTCTGATACATGCAGCAGTGTTTGGGGAGAGGAGGACAGGCAGCACCGCAGAGCCACTGCTGGGGGAACCGACTTTTAAGCTGGCTCTTGCTTTTCCCTCCCCCCCCTGCTGCCTCTGATACAGAGGCAGTAAGAAGGTGGGAAATTGTAATTGTCTAGTCAGCTACTTGTTGACATCCCTGTTCTGGGTAGAAATCTCTCTAGATCCCACTGCTGTTATGCATGTATGTATTACCACGTTGAAGGTAAACTGCATCATCTATTGTTCTTAGCTAAGCATTTTTGTGTGTTCTAAACTAGGCATAGGCTAGTTGCAAGTTGTAAACCTTTTAATACAATGTCTGTTCATCCAAATGTATAAAGAAAATATTGCTTTGCATGGGTGACCAAATAATATGGACTTTTCATGATGATGTGAATAATGTTATAATTTATGTTGGTATCTTTTCTGTTTGGAAGGAAAAGACAAACTTTGCCAACTTTACATCTCAACTTCTAAGGCATTCTTAAAGTAATGATCGTGTCTTTTAGGATTAATAACATCCACTAAATTTAGAACTTAAAATCAAGTAAATTTTGAGGGAGGGAATACAAACAGGTCTATGATGTGCTTCTTTGATAAATGTCTGGTTTTTTTTCCCTGAGGCTTCTTGATTATCAGAAATTAAGTAAAATTCCTAGCAAGACTAACATTAGCTTTGCTATTTCACAGCAAAATCCTTTCCACTTGCATTATAGCTGATTTGGTTTCTAGCTTGATCCCAAATACCTATAGTTTGTTTGTACAAGCCATACCCCAGATGCTTTAGTCAGCTGACATGGGCCAGCTGTGGATGTCTGCAGCCTCATTCTCAGTTTTGGTGCTAAAGTAGCAATATTGGATCTATCAAACAGGAAAGGTTTCTTTGTAGTTTCAAACTGGGAGAGGGAATGACTGAACTCCAAACCTCCTGTATTTTCTTATCCTGTAGAGCACACCCTTTCTGTGCAGGGTGGGAAAAGATGTGTGTCCTTCC